GGTTCAACATCTCTCCAGAGGTCTTCCGTCCACTTGTGGAATAGACGCCACGTCGAGTTGCTGCACTTCGCCTGGCTAGAGGGCGTCCTACACGATACTAGGTACCTATCCCATGACTTCTGGCACTTTAGTGTAATTCCTCTGTGGAGACGTATAACGAGACTGTCCATACGTTCTTACTCGCATTCGTTTTAAAAACTGGTTTCCTACCAATTTTATAAAAGTCTGCGCTAATAAATTATAGGAATATATTCACTATTTATTCCGAGCACCAAACGAAACCCATAAGTACGCTGACTTCATGGTGAACGATGCTTCTTGAGAAGTTGACCGTCGCGTAGCTTGTCAGGTTACGGAATCCGAAGGCTGATTAACATGTTCACAAGAGAACATCACTGGTTCCGATCCAGAGCCAGAGGAACACGGATCTCGCTTTCATACTGTCATGTGTAGGTGTGACTATCGGCGGGGTTTTGGATTGGGGATTGGATTTATTGACCACTTTAACACAAAACTCGTAACTACAAGTAATTTTAGACCCATCGCTGATCTCCACACTTTACAAATCACTACAGCACTCGCCAAGTATTTTCAGTCTGCTGTGTCTTCACCGTTCGTTCCCTGGTAACGGCTTCTAACAGTAAAGATTCTTTAGCTTCCGCGATCATTTTGTTACTCGCTAGCTCTCAACTACACCGACTATATATATATGAGACAAACTCCGTCTTAAGTGCTGTCTGTCGCTGCTTATCTTTAATACGACACACACAGAGAGAGCCTACACAGAACAATACCTGAACAGCGAAAAAACAAGAAGTGGCCGCTGCAGCACTATAGACATAGGGCGTGTACACCGAGAAATTTTAATTTTTAAAGATTTGGAAAAAGAAAAAGAACAGAATNTTTTAAATTTTAAACTACGGGCAGTGTAGCAGCTACGTAAGAATACACACCTGATGATGGCCATTTAGGGCCGAAACATGTAGTGTGGAGGAAGGGAAGAAGAAAGAACTACAATTAAATTGTTGCACTTAAGACGGAGTTTGTCTCATACATATTGTGTGAGTGTAACAGGATGCTTAAATATAATATTGTACACCGACTAGATCTTCTCTTCGCAGACTTCCTTACAGTACCTCTCACAACTGACTAAATTCTAAAATTTTCCCTTGCTTACAACACTTCGACACGGACGGCGCAGGAAACACCTTTCATTGTTGTAATCTAATCATTTCCGTGGGAACATGTTTGCCTGCGAAGGCGTTACTCAGTAACGGCTGCGTATATTTGATTATTAAGAATCTGTTTCTTAGCAGCGGGTTTTGTTTCATTGTTTGTTTCGAGGTTGTTATCCAGTAACACGTCTACACGCTACAATATTTTATTTCTCTATGATCCATTTTAATACTGGAATTGTCCTTCCGTCTATGACTAGCCCTTTCCAGTCGTGCACACGCTCTGCTGACCTCATTTTCCTTGATGTAATCACTCTAACGATATTTCTAACAGGCTTACTGACAGACTGACTTACACATCTATGTTATAGTATCTCTCATTATGTCTGGTTACATCATCTGTACCTTAAGAGGAAGAAAAGTAGGTGCCTCTAGTAATTCTCTGAACCCGTGTTTATGAAGACATGTCTGCATGAACGGGCATACAACTTGCATTTCTATATCGTTTAATTGCATGTGTAAACACGCCATATATTGTTTCGTAATATGCTGAAATTATAGGGCTGAATCCGGTGTCAGAAATTTTAAAGTATTTAAATCATTATTCATCTGTCTCTCTCTGTCTTGGGGCCCACGTCCCCGATGTTTGGGAAGGAGTGAAAAAGCTTCTCACAGACAATGCTACTTTATACCCAAAATTTCGGCCAGCTACGTGTATGTGTTTCTCTTTCACAGAGCTGCAGCTGGAACGTTTTTGGCCAGATGATGAGTGAAAGCAAATAAAATTCCAGTCCAAAAGCCACGTAGTATAAGCCCAACCACACGCATGCGCTCTTAAATGTGTGTGTAATATTGTATATAAAAGTCTGCGAGACCAGTCACAGACATGGTCGATGCTCTGCTCGACGAAAGCTGATTTAAGAATGCGCAGGCAAGAAGATGTCCAAATATCGCGTGTGGCTGGCCCAAAGAACGCAGAATTGGAACGGTCGACAGAAGAATGAAATACATTACTTAAAAAGATGTCGGAAGAGACTACCGACTTTGTTAGAATTTCTAATTTTGATCGCAATATTTCACAAGCGCCGTAGTGTCCAAGACGGACGCGCACCGTATTTTTAGAAATTATGTGTCCGACTAAAATCGAAATAAAACTCCCAGAGGAAGTGGTTTAAATCTGGAACGAGGGTCAAACACTGGACTGAACATAAATGGGCAAAATATCCAGTTGCACAGATTCACCCGTACTTGCTTTCAAAAAAAGGTCAAGGGAAAAAAAACCACTTTCTCAGTGCCGCCTTGCATGTGTGAAGTTCCACCAGAAAATTTTGTGTCATAAAGACAATGCTCCAGAAGTTGCTTATGCCATTTTTGCAAGAAAGCCTATGCACAGTGTGACACACTGAAGCTATGTGGACCTAACACAAATCACTTACCTGAGCAGCACACACATACAAGCAATCATTCGCGAGTATCGCCCTGCAACCGTTATTTGATGGGACGGGAGAAAACTGTCCTGTAATTGGTTCCACGTTTTTTTATGTCAGGGTAAAAGACGGAGGCGGGAAACCACAAGGCTTCATAACCCAGCATACCACAACAAGAATCCTTTACCTTGAAGATGGAGGCAACTATGTTCCTCCAAAATGTTGGTACTCACCTACAAGACCACACGGTGCCATAATCCGGCAAACCACATGAACACACATTACTTCAAAATAATAAATAGCATTAATTAAATTTTCTGAACACAACGTGCACTGTATTCGATCGATTTTACGTATTTGCATTCTCACATGTGTCTGGGCTGCGTGGTCCAAACTTGATCACCCTTTCATCACTCCAGCGTCTATGTTTATACTGTTACTGGTGCAGAACTTGACGAATTTTGTGCATTTACTGATGCTGAGTAACCTAAACTGATGGAACATGGAATCATCTATATATTTTTATTATTTGGACCTGCAGTAAAGTGGATATTGGGCATTTTCGGTAGTTAACACATCTACTTTCCTTCATAAGAAACTGCCGTGCTCTGTTCAAGAAACAGAAGATTCATGTTTTGTGTTTAGTCTTCATGTTCACATATTCCAAGACACATTACAGCTTACTGAGGTAGATGACATATCAGCCAGAGAAGTTGCGTGGCACGTTGACTCTCTAACATCAAATGCGGCAGGAAACGCTAATCACAGAGGCCCCTGTCAGGCTTGGAAGATTCCAGTGATGTCAGGGCAGAGGCATTCCTAAAGGCGGGTAACACATTTACAACACATCTGTCACAAAACATCCTTTTTCTTTTTATTCGCAAGGTGGGGGGGGGGCTTGAGTCCAGCTGGGTCCACTCGGCACGTCGGCCACTGATTGGCCTATTGTACCTGCCCCGGGTGATTATAATGGTGGAGAATTTGGTGGAATGAAGATTGGCAGGGGAAACCGAAATACTCGGAGAAAACCTACCCCAGCGCCACTTTGTCCACCACAAATCCCACTTGACCAGACCCGACAGACATCCCTTACGCTGGTGAGACATAAATCGTATATACATATATAGTATAGGTATATATAGTATATAATTTTCAATTGTACTGCACTACATATACATACTAGTACGATTGGGCGATATGGAAGTAAAGTACAATGCAAGATTTCGAACACTACAAGAGGTTTTTCAATGTAGTAGATGAGCCATAGAAAAGGGATGCATTAGATTGGAACCCCCAAGGTGCTAGAAGGAGAAGACGACCAAAGAAAACTTCGAGAAGATCAGCAGAAGAGGAAATAACAGAGACGGGAGGGAGCTGGAGAGAGGTTAAGGCATTGGCAAACCAGAAGAGAAGATGGAGAAGCTTCATGTTCCACTCGGAACTAAGGCAACCAAATCAAGTCAAGATGACCTATCCGTACCGAAGCTTGGTATACAAGAAAGTACAGGCAGCACAGTGCTTTTCGACAGGCCGATAGCCGCTCAGCTAACAAACATGTCCCCATTTTTAAGCAAATCTCAGGTCTTTAGAGCGCGCCACTAGACTACATAAATTCAGACACCGCCTTTATAATTATTTTTAATAATACCCTCCCACCTAATCCTAAAACTCCGATGTAATGTTTTCTTTTTATGTCTTTGTTAACATTCTGCATGCACTTCTCATGTCTCCCCTACCTGTTACATGTCATGTAATTAAAAGTGTCTTGATTCTTGCAACACTGCGCCAGGCGATTTACTGATTTTGTTTCAAAGTACCGAGGTAGCAAGAATAAGCTGTTTACAAGTCCGTTCATAACGGAGTTGCTTTTAATTACGTGGGTAGCATTTACCGTTTGCATCAGTGTAAACAAAATTCAGACAAATGAAATGCCTTCACTGTTAATTTTTTTTTAAATAGATAGTAGCGGCGAATATAAGAAAATAATGCAATGACACCGTTCCGAGAAGTTGTGTTTATATTATTTGTACGTAATGGTTATTTTTAGCGGGAGGGAAGAAGTAAAGATGCTGTATTGCGTCCTATTCGCACCCACACAGGAAATGCAATATCGTCACGAAAGATTCGACTACGAACTTCCATCATATCCAACTGGTATAAAAGTACAGCTGCTTTAATGTTTGTTTTTTAAAACATACAGTACGCAATTGATTTGTTCGTCTGCAGTTTCTGTGCAAGGATGTCATAACAAGAAACGTTCACGCGAACTGATCATGTGATCTCTAAAGGAAAACAACCCTCTCAACAGGATTCGATCCCATAAGTCATGAACGACAGGTCCCACCTCCTCCAACCCAGCGATTATGGCCGCTGGAGTGACCTTATAAATAGAACTTGCCTGTGCAGGTTCCTAAAGAGTTCACGGTGGTAGAAAACTGTCGTTGATATCTCAGCCGCCCAAGTGGAGCGTCATCTGCCCATCATGCCCGAGACGACATGACATAAAGCTCACTGCAGTTTACATCACATTGATTTTATGCAGCGGGTCGCGAAACACTTTCTGTAACACTACGTCCGCCTACCCTCACTCCACAAGCGCTCAATGCGCAGGAGAAGGACGGAGACTGAACCGGAAAGAGATGCTGGACCATAGCGTAACAAGCACGAGCTTTACCGAATTCACCCGATTTTCTCAGCGCTCTTAGTCAACGACAGTTAGATTTTAATCTTCATCTGGTGTTAAATTTATTTACATACAAATAATCGAACGTCGATGTTACGTAGTTAACGCTCCTTCTTATTCGTGGTGGGTCATACCGACTGTCCTGACTGAGGTTTTCGTGGTATTGCTTAGCCTCTTCAGCCAAGTGTCGAGATTGATTCTCCAGCTGGACAACTACCCCTTCCTTCCACAAACTTTCTAATTCACCATCATCACAACTTAACGCTATGATTTTAAAGTTTTGTGGAAAATTTATACTTCCATCTCTGTATCACCATTCGCCATACACACTTCCTGCTCCTTGATTAATTTATTATGGGACTGATGATTCAGATGAATGAGGTCAGTTGGTTACATATAGGGTACTAGCCGGGCCGATTTATAAGAGGGTCTCAGGGATATTTAATGGCCACAAGTCTCAGCGAATGATAATCCGTTGTTATGGCTATCCCAACAAAGCAGTCACTGATTTTTTGCACAAGTTTATACAGACACTCAGCTAAGGGCAACAAATAGGCTGTGATTGCGTAGTTCTTGTTTACATTGTTTAACTTCACCAGTAAATTTTCCATTGATTTAAACTCCGATTAACTCAAAGAATTTGGTTGCACAAAAATAAACTATTAACAGTGTAAGCAGGACTTTATGCCGCTTACAATAATGTACAATTGACAAAAGTGTGAAATTGGTGAAATACGAATGATAAAATGTAAAGAGAATTTGGTTTCTCTCATACCTTAACTTTGTAAAATCATTTTAAAAATATATGTTTGAAAACTTAATTGTGTATATGTAGATTCAAATATGGTTCTTGTTTCATTTCATGATGCTTTATCAATTGCTGTTTTATGTGGCATCGGTAAGATGAGATGGTGGTTACAACCCATGAATAAAAAGGACGAGGAAGAAAGTGCTTGTAGTCTATTTCAAGATACTGTCCCATCATTTGCATAGACAGACTGACACATATGGCATATGTACTAATTACACTCTTTCTTTAACCATTCAAAAAGAGATTTTTGTGTTCCCCTCCCCTTTAAGCTCTCAATCTGTATAATTAATTTTCACCTTTGTTCGACACATATATTTTCTGGCTGCTGCCAGTCCTTTCACTGCATCCAAGAAGATTGCTTTATGTTCTGCATCATCCCAGTTTTCTTCTGATTCTTCTTCTTGTCTAGTCAAGCGTTGATCTAACACATGATCAACACTCCAGGCTCCACAGACCCTGAAAGTACTGTCACATGATGGGTAGCCCTCAGACTGCACTACAAGAGGTTGTAAACTGTGTCAGTTAGCATTTTCAACTTCACAAAGTTTCACTGCACTGTCATCAATGCTGCTGATATGGTCATTTGAGCAACCACACTTCTCAAAGCGATTCTGCTTTGCGTGGGTGTTACCAATCTCCAGGCTTCTGCTATGAAATGCACTGCAGACAACACATCCAGTTTCATCTGTGCTGCATCTGACATCGGTCACCTATTCATCCTGGCTTCAGTCTTCAAAATCAGCTCCTTTCTGTAATGGCATTTCAATGCATGGATGATTCCCAAACGTAAAGGCTGTGGTTGGGTGATGTATTTAGCTGGAAGAAGTGCAACTACATGTATGATGCTACTAAAAATTTCTTCAGATGAGCAGCGCACTAAATAAAGCAATATTTTGCAATTTTTAGCATCATGCTTTCTAACTAGTTGAGTGAGGTAATATTCAAACATGTTGGTGTTCATTTAGAATCTGTATGAACTTCATATTTTGTAGGCAGTCTCTTGACATTCTTGAAGCAACTCAGACTTTCATATTTTCCAGCTGCAAGAGGTGGCAGTCTATCACTACACTACACTGAATTGTATGCAAGGAGTACAGTAACAAGCTGTAAGGTTTTATATCATCACAGCAAAACCTTTCTCTCAATAAGTGAAGGTTTGCTAGGTGGCAGTCTGAAAAATAGACCGGTCTCAAAAGCATCATATATATTTATATATCTCACAGAGGTCATAAACTTCAGTTTTTGTTGCAGTATTATGTAATGTTTCTAGTCTTCTGCAGTTTCTGGATTAAAACTCATAGTCCCACCTCATAGAGTTCTGTGAACAATAGTTTGTTTTCTCTTAAATCTGTCATTCTATCCATTGGAATGCGAAAAGTTGGCTATTCCCAGACTGGTGAAGAAACGCAAGATCCTCTTCTTAAGATTGGTGCCATCAATGCAAGCATTACTCTCACATGCTTGCTTCAACCATGCTGCAACTGCAGATTCCAGTTTCTCCAGTAGGGAACGTTCCAGTGATTTCTGCTGCTTGGAAAAATGCCCACACTGGACGTACCTTCTTTCAGTTTCTTCACAGTTATTCACGGTAGTGTTTACTGTGGACACTGAAAGACTCAAGCATGATGCAAGTATGGGCATTAACTTGTGTTAAAGTATTTATTGCATAAATAACTCCATGGGGCTGAGTCGTCCTTCAGAATCTGCCAGTTATGCAACTATTCAAGAACTTCCCAGCGTTTTATGGAACCCAAAAGCTCATTACCGTGTTCACAAGAGCCCTCCACTGGTCCGTATCTTGAACTAGATCAATCCAGTCCATAGCACGCTATTCTATTTCTCTAAGATCCATTTTAAAAGTATCTACACATCTACGTCTAGGTCTTCGTAGTGGTTTGTTTGCTTCTAGATTTACCACCAAAATTCTGCATGCATTCCTCTTTTATTCCATGTGTACTATATGCCCTGTCCATCTCATCCTCCTTGATGTCATCATTCTAATTATACTTGATAAAGAGTATAAGTCTTGAAGCTCCTCAATATATAGTTTTCTCATACCTCCTATCACTTCATCCATTTCCGGTTCAAATATTCTGCTCAGTACCCTGTTCTCAAACGCCCTCTCTCTATATTCCTCCCTTAATATCAGACACCAAATTTCACACCCATACAGAACCTTAGGCAAAATTATAGTTTCATATATTCTGATTTTTACGATTTTAGGCAGCATACGTGAAGACAAAGGGTCCTGGATTGAATCTCCTCTTAATTTCCTCTTAAATCAAGTTTGGATTTATTACTGTCATTCCAAAATATTTGAACTGTGGCATATTTTCTACACATCAATTAGTTCTCTTTATGTCATGATTTTTCCCTGCATTCTGGTGACAAGAGAGCAAAATATACTTTGTTTTCTTTGCGTTCACTTCTTTACCAACTTCCTTTTTATGGCCAATAATGTGTTTTTCTTTATGGTATTTATGTTATCACCAAGTAGATTCATATTATCAGCACAGGCGAACAGCTGATGTGTCCCATTTAACTTAAGTCCCACCTGGTTTTCGTAGCCTTTCCTATTGGCATATTCTAAAGCAAAGTTGAAAAGCAGTGGTGATAAAGCATCTCCTTGTTTTAGACCATTTGAACAGGAAACGTATTGGGCAAACATTTACCAATACATACTTTACTAACTATACTATTTGTAGGTACATACTTATTGCATGTGATACCCGTTTTCTTTTATTGTCCGTATTTTATCCTCCTGCCGTGAAATTCATCTTAATTGACAATAACATTTGGTCTCTATGAAAAGAAGTCACAGGAGCGCTGGGAGATTGAAGAATTTGCCATGGGTGCATATCTGTTGAATGTGTTGCAGTGGTCAGTTTTTGGACCACAGATCAGACAGAAGAGAGAGAGTGACTGCTTTCGTTGAGCTACAGTTATACTAAGATGCAGCAAGATTAAAGCTGGTCTAACGGGCGAGCTACTTAGACTACGAAACTAAAAACTAAACTCATTGGCTTAGTCCACAAGCGAACTATACCGACCGAGCGACCGCCGCCTGTCTACGAAGTTAGTGCGTCCCTGTCGTCTCTCTGGTCTAGTGGTCAAAATTCCTGGCTACACATCCAGAGGTATCACGCGCACACTCTATCCGTGAAATTTGGCACTGCTTGGACTACAGCGGCAGAAAAAATCCATCACGCTTGATAGGCGTAAGCGAAGTCACGTGGTGCGCGCGCATGAGCCAATTGGTACTATGTATTTTTGGACTCAACGTTTTGCGACCGCTGATAGAGAAGTTCGTTGCCTCGAATACGAAATTCTGATAACAGCTACAAAATGAAAACCCGGGTTAATTTTCGTAGTGGGGACATGAGAAATGAAGATAAAATTCGCGAAAAACAAACGTGAAATTCAGGAAACGCAATACCTGTTAAGTTTAACATTACTGTTATGTGCATTTGCCTAGGACCATGCAAATAGGGCGTAAATTCACGGAAAACGTAAAACCCGGGATTTTAAAATCGAAGTTTCATTATATGAAGTTTTGTAGATGGGCTCTTAGTCATGACCATGCTTAGCGATCGTCTAGTGAGTGGCGCTGAGATAGTCTTGTCAAGAACATGTCCAAGACTGTTGAAGTACCTGGTTCGAAGTTATTTTTATAACTGAAATACTCGTAGCCTGTATACTCTATCAACGGAACTGAAATTGTGGCCTTCTTGAAATTTTGTTATGAGTCTACTGGTTCTTGTAATTTAATTGCCTGCACAGTCTGTGCAACATTAGCCCTTGAATGATGCTGCTTCTCTGCTCCAAGCCAGAATTCACGTCTGGTTAAACGGCCGAAGTTGACATCAGCAACATTCAGTAAAACTCCGTATTACCCCTGCGATACGGCATTTGAATTTCACATGATCGTCGTAACAAAATCCAGATGTTGTAACTAAATTTTGAATAAAATTTATAACTATGAATGAATAATGATTAATTAATCATATTGCAGCTTGTAAATCCGTTACTATGCAAAGATCGTGAGATCGGAGGTTATATCAGACCCATTTCTGGCCAACGGCTCGATAAACCCCTTCCCACAGC